CTTTTTGGCAGATTACAGCACGTTCTGCCCCTGTAGACTCAATCAGAAACGCTCAATGCAATTGTTTGTGACTAGAGGTGCACCGAAATGGAAGTTTCAAAACGAAATAGAAATAAAATGTCAGGGCGAAACTGAAAATGTTTTTCTTTTTTTTCACATTTTAAAAATATTTTGTTATAAACTTTTTAATTTATTTTTATTCATTTTTTATTCAATATTTTTATTTTTTACATTACTTTTAGGGGCTTCGGGGAAATATTAGGAGTCTAAACAGACCCCTGATATTTCCCTTTTTAAAATAGAAAAAGAGATTGAGGCCACAGAGTCCTCAATCTCTTTTTCTGTATCCCCTGTTACAAATGAACAGGAATCCTCTATACTTAGTGTTCCTGTTCATTCATAACATGAGTACATGATATGTTTACTATAACTACAATCATGAATGAACAGGAGGTGATGTAGATCACTTCCCATTCATTCATAATTGAGTATATAGTAAACATACTATGTCCTTAATTATCTACAAACACTCAGCGATCGCTGAGTGTTTGCATTGGCTCTCCTTTCTGACACGCTGTCACAGGAGGCTGAGCGAACGGTGCAGGGAGGAGAGCTCAGCCTCCTGTGACAGCTCGGGCTGTCCACACACCTATCCACAAATTGACCCCAGGTAATGGAAACAATTTATTCTACAAACAGTGCAGTGTAAGGCCTGGTTCACAGCTGGCGTATTGTCACAGCTGAATAAGCGCAACAAAATTCTTCACAAAAAAAAATCCCATTCATTCCTATGGCTCCTGTTCACACCTGAGCGTTTTGTCGCAATAAGCAAAATGTCTATTGCTGGAAAAAGTACATGAGCTTCTTTTTGGCAGATTACAGCACGTTCTGCCCCTGTAGACTCAATCAGAAACGCTCAATGCAATTGTTTGTGACTAGAGGTGCACCGAAATGGAAGTTTCAAAACGAAATAGAAATAAAATGTCAGGGCGAAACTGAAAATGTTTTTCTTTTTTTTCACATTTTAAAAATATTTTGTTATAAACTTTTTAATTTATTTTTATTCATTTTTTATTCAATATTTTTATTTTTTACATTACTTTTAGGGGCTTCGGGGAAATATTAGGAGTCTAAACAGACCCCTGATATTTCCCTTTTTAAAATAGAAAAAGAGATTGAGGCCACAGAGTCCTCAATCTCTTTTTCTGTATCCCCTGTTACAAATGAACAGGAATCCTCTATACTTAGTGTTCCTGTTCATTCATAACATGAGTACATGATATGTTTACTATAACTACAATCATGAATGAACAGGAGGTGATGTAGATCACTTCCCATTCATTCATAATTGAGTATATAGTAAACATACTATGTCCTTAATTATCTACAAACACTCAGCGATCGCTGAGTGTTTGCATTGGCTCTCCTTTCTGACACGCTGTCACAGGAGGCTGAGCGAACGGTGCAGGGAGGAGAGCTCAGCCTCCTGTGACAGCTCGGGCTGTCCACACACCGCTCTGCCGGACTGTGACAGGAGGCTGAGCGGTGTGGGAGAAGAGCCCCCGGCTGCTCACAGCGCTCTCCTCCTGCAACGCTCGGCCGCCTGTGACACTTTCTCTCCTCCCTGCTAAGATACAGAGCAGGGCCCAGCAGGGAGGAAAGAAAGCAGGGATGCACCGATGTATCGGCTGAAAAATTGTACTTTTCGGCATTTAGCCGATGTGTTTAGGCGGCTGATATATCAGTGCATCCCTATTTGTGACACATTGATGTAAATATGTGCGCAAAATCTGCTTGCAAAAATGCACAACTTAATGCATGCAGGTAAAATGGGCACAAAAAACATGCACAAACGTGCAGCAAAAAAACACTTGTTTTTATGTTGCCACATTTTATGTTGGTCACTCACGGTGGTCTAATGTTCTGTGTTTTTGCTGCTTGTGTTTCAATGTTCTTTGGAAAACATGTATATAACATACTGTGGTGAAGACCAGGTGGCAGATGTGTAAATGCTTAAAGCGGACCTGTGCTAAAATGCAAGGTCCACTTATTTCATCAGGCATCCCACCCTCATCCTAAATCACTGCATGATGAATGTAAAGAAAACCACACCTGTAGGGAAAACAATTAGAAAATATACTTGCCTTTATAGCCGACCTGCAGGCAAGGGTGATGTCACAATCCTTCCAGTGAGATCCTAAGGGTGCCCACACACCTTACGATAATCCCGGGAAACCAAAAGTCTTGCGATGGTTGTAAGGTGTGTGCCCAGCATTAGAATGCTGAGAATCCCAAATCTTGCAAGAAGCTACTGCTGCACTGTTTCAGAGCATCTTCTTCTGAGATTTGATATGCTCCGCAATCTCAGGATCTTGCCGGGAGGATTGTGAGCCCACTCTCTCCAGTGTGGAAGCCCGCTGTGAGATAAGTATAGTTTTCTAAGGTTTTCCCCAGATATGGCATTTTTTCAAAGCTATTATGTGGCAATTTGAGACAGGGGGGAAGGGGGGCGGCGACTGATGGAATTAGTTCTGCCATCTTAGTTCTGTTAGATGTTGAATGCGCAGTTTGATGCAGCAAGCATGTCTGTCTTGACCGTCTCTAGATACCAGAACCTAGACCATCCAATAAAACTTTACAGATGGAGTTTACATTCGTAGAATCAGTAGGGATGCACCGATACGGATTCATTATCAGTTGGGATGCTACGAGTACCGGTACTCGTACTCACCCAAATGCTCCCGATGCCTATCCCAATACCAGAACTTCCGCTATCAGGAAGCCGGGCAGCGAGTCATTACACGCTGCCTGGCTTCCTGATTGACTGGGAAGCCGGCTCCATGCTCCCTCGCCACTTGGTGACGAGAGCATTGAGCCGGCTTCCAGGCCAATCAGGAAACCAGGCATCATGTAATGACTGGCCACCCAGCTTCCTCATTGGTTGGCGAAGCCGGCTAATCAGAAAGCCAGGCGGCGAGTCATTACCTGCACCCCCGGCTTCCTGATTGGCCAGAAAGCCGTCTTCATGCTTCCTCGCCACCTGGTGATGAGGAAGCATGCAGACAGCTTCCCTGAATAATCTGGAAGCCATTTATCACACGCCACCTGGCTTCCTGGATGGGACTTCTGGTATCCGTATTCAGTGTTGGCGAGTACCGAATAAAGAATATCGGTGCTCATACTCGATACCGAAAAATCAGTATCGGGTCATCCCTAATTATCAGAATTACAGAAGCATTCTCAGAGAATGCCGTGTTTCACAGACATTTAAAGTGTTGTATATACATAACAATAAGTACTTTGATTATTATTCTGATGATCTTTCCCCTGTCATTGGTTATACAGTGACAAGGTGTTACATCCCTGATGATGATATTGAGGTTTGGTCACTATGACTGTGCTCTTAATGATGATTCTGAATTATGATTGTACTCAAAAAGTGTTGCACTGAAAGTACTTTCTTTGGAGCCTCCAATTATGTTTCCACTAATGATGTGGGATTATGTTCTCTCTGACTGTGCTCCCAATGATTATACTGAATGAAGTCTTTTGAAACTGTACTCCCTGTGATGATGGTGAATGATGTCCTCTGTGCTCCTGGTGATTATGTTTAGTGGCATCCTCTAAGGCTGTGCTCCTGGCAACTATGCTAAATAATGGCCCCCGGGGGTTCTGCTCCCAGGAACGTTGCTAAATGAAGTATTTTGGGGTTGTGCTCTTGGCTATAATGTTGAATGATGTCCTCTGTCTATGTGCTCCTGGCAACAATTTTAAATGACCTCCTCTAGGGCTGTGCTCCCAGTGCTGATGCTGAACATTGTCCTGTGGGGCTATGTTTCTGGCATAAATGCTGAATGACATCAGACTGTGACTGTGCTTCTGGTGAAGAAGCTAAATCATGTCCTCTGGGACTAAGCACTTAGTGACGAATACTAAATTTTCCTCTGGGGCTGTGCTACCCACGCCAATGCTAAACCTCATACTCTGGGGCTGTGCTTCCCAGGCCAATGCTAAACAACATCCTCTGGGGCTGTGCTTCCCACGCCAATGCTAAAACACATACCCTGCGGCTTTGCTCTCAACAAGGTTGCTACATGATGTCTTTTGTGGCTGTGCTCTCGCCCAAGAACATGATTGACATCTTTTGAGACTGTGCTATCAGTGATGATGCTGTATTATGTTCTCTGAGTCTGTGCTTTCAGTGTCTATGTGGAATGACGCCCTCTAGGGCTGTGCTCCTGGTGAGAAGTTGCCAGAAATAATAAAGGCACAGATAAAATATGATGTAATGCAGCTAGGATATGCAAGGTGATGGTCAAATGATGTTGATACAAAACTGTATTTGCAGTTAAAGGAGAACTATGAGGCGACTCACTGAAAATCACTCACCTCATAGTTCTAGCCGACCTGCGACAATGAAACTGTCACAGGTCGGCTCAATAGATCGGGAAGTGAGCGAACACATACCGTCGCTCGCTCACTTCTCGATCCTGTCCCTGCAGAGAGCTGTGACTGTCGCTCACTAGATCTAGAGGCAGGGCAGGTACAGTTGCCTATCTATAGGCAGGGCAGGTACAGCTGGCTCTGCCTCTAGATAGGCAGAGTCAGCTGTCAATCACACATGCTGGGTGGATCGAGACAGTAATGTCGGGATCCGTCCCGGCTGCGGCATCTCATTATACTGCGAGCTGTAGCTCGCGGTATACAGAGCTTTGGGTTACGGGAGAACACTAGTTTGTGTCCTCCCGTTACCCTTAGGAGAACTATGGGGAAAAGCACTGACCCCATAGTTCTCCTTTTAGGTGTCTTTTAATCTCTGCTGACGACTATGTGCATCAGTTTTCGGCTTCATCTGGAACATCCCTTATTTATTTTTTTTATAATTATGACTCGCACTCTATATTAGCTTTTTTTTATGTGCTGACATGACATTTGCTAATATCACATAAAATTGCTGAAAGCAAACATAATTACTTCAGAACTTTGTGTTCTCTTTACAGTCACCAACAGCAAGCGGCTCTCAAGATCATGGTAAGAATGCTGACCAATTGTGAATTCAGTCTTGGGGGTTTTATATTCTGTGGTAAAGATTTAGTTGCTGTGAGATCAGCAGCTTAAATGAATGAACCTTGCACTGTATTGTGGCTCCCAACACCAAACTGGTTTCCTTCAGTAACAGAAAAAAGAACTGCTCAAAATGGCCACAATGGTAACGAAAACCTGTGGCAATAGAAGTACAGAGGTTACCATTGTTGACTTCAACTTTATACATGCTAGTTGCCTGGCTGTTACACTGATCCTCTGAGTTCACTGCTTTTTGGAGTCACTTCTATAAGCTGGCCACACACCTTACAATTATTTGCAGATTTTCTGTGGTCAGATGGAAAAGGTGCAACGGATTCCTCCATCTACACTTAACTGTGTGGATGGAGTAATCTCCACCTGGGCCAATCTGTTGCACTTTTTCCATCTGACCACAGAAAATCTGCAGATAAATTGTAAAGTGTATGGGCACCTTTTAGAACAAGTATACAGATCCCGGCTTCTGACATCACTTACTGCATACTTGTACCATGTAGGTGCTTAACCGAATTGGTCAGCATTACAGCCAAGTAGCCAGCATTCATTAGGTCAGCAATGGCAGCTATCATATTATTTTTCTTATTAGAAGTGTTTTTGTAAGTTTTACCTTCTTACCTAGCACAATATCCCCCAATTTCCTTGTTGGAGGCAGGCTGTTTTAAAAGGGCCACCTGTTACCGATCCCTAACATTTATGCACAAGGTATGGTGTAATGTGAAGGACGTAATGCATCATATGGTGTATACATGGTTTATGCCAATGTGGCACAATGCTTCTCTACAAAACTCTCTAGATTTGAGTGATGAAAATGTGCAAGCATTTCTACATCAGGTCTTTGAGGGGTCTATCCTTACATTTTTGTACAGTTCTGCAAGAATTAACCTGCACCTCCCCACTAACACTGCCCCCCTTCCCATTGATCTACATTCCCCAGACCAGGGACACTAAACAAGGCCTAACATCCAAGGTATACTCTACTTTAGTCTTCTCATCCAAACTCGCTAAGATGCAAGGAGGGGTGGAGCCAAGATTTGGGCACCATAGACTCAGACCAGTGGAACCAGGCACTAGAAGTAGTTACTAATTGCACCCATTCGCTGACTCAAAAGCTTACATGGCTATTTATAATACACAGAGTATATCATACTCACTCCAAAACAGCTGTTTCATTGTGGTTACAGAGACTCTCCTCTATTCACCAGGTGTGGTCGGGACATAGGCATGTTGATTTGATCTACTGTGGTGCTGCCCTAAACATCATAGGTATTGGCAATCCATTTTCCATGCAGTGAACTCCCTATATTCCACCACACTACCACTGGATCTGAGAATTTGCTTTTTTTTGTATTTTGGAATGAATTTCAGAATCCTCGGTTCCCCAATTACCAGATGACTGGATTACAGATTCATCGTAAGGAAATGAATTGCCAAAAAATGGACTTCCTCTAGTCCATCTACATTTCCTCAATGGCAGAATACCGTTAACTCTTTGCTTGAGAGGGAAAAAATTAGTCTACCAATATAGAGGATGTCCTAATAAATGTAACACAATCTGGGAACGTTGGCCATCATCCCCCTCAGTGGCTCCAACACAATGGGGGGAATTTATCAAAACTGGAGCAGACAAAATCTGGAGCAGCTGTGCATGGCAACCAATCAGCTTCTCTCTTCAGTTTGTTCAGTTAAGATTTGAAAATAAGAGAGAATAGCTGATTGGTTACCATGCACAGCTGCTGAAGATTTTGTCTGCTCCAGTTTTGATAAATTCCCCCCAATGTAATTTTGACTGAAGTTTTGGGGCCTTCCGTGGTCCTAAGGACATGCCCCTATTTTCTCTATACCTGGCGCACCAGATGCATGGCAAGAGTACTACTACTTTCTCTTTTTATACCTGCCTTTGACATGACACAACGTTTTAGGTGATTGTGTACTGTTGATCTTATTCTCCATGTATCTATAACACCTATTGCATTCATGCACAACTGCTCTGTTCCTCTCCTAAATAGGGCTGCTTGGTGGACTTGGGATTGTTGCACTCTACTGCACATTACATTGGTGTACTGGACAGATATACATAACGGAATCTTGCTGTGCGGGATAATAGTAAAAAAGCAACATGAGTTCTAAACCCCCCCCCCCCACACACATAAAATGTAAATTGACTCTTAACTGTAGATGCCTGTAGTATCCCTCTGAACTATCACTAATAGGAACCATGCTGGTTACCATTGCCTTCTTTTGAAGTGTAAGTATGCTTATAAGGCAAGGCAGAAGTCCTTTTGTGCACGCTTGTTTCAAGTTGGGGACGCAAAGGCTTGGAGTCAAAGGTTCAGTGTGTCCAAAGAAACACACCGCGCTTAAAAAGTAAATAACATAAATGTATGCAATAAAAAAAAAAAAACATTTGTATTATAATTTTTGTTTGTATTGCATATATCTGTTATTTACTTTTTAAGCATGGTTTGTTTCTTTAGATATTTAATAGGGAGTGGTTTACTCACCTTTAACACTGCTGCTACAATACAGGGGGATTAGTGTTAGGCTAGGAGAGCGGATCGTTTTGGAATAATAATTATAAAGGTTCAGTGTGGCAGCCAAGTGTTGGTTATGTGTTTAGATGAAGCACTGAGATCTTGAGGAATGTTGAATTAAGTTTTACTTATAAGAACGTTGCATATGTGTATGGCAATACATCGTCAAAGAGGAAACCTATAAATCATATATAAATATGCCCAAGAGACTGAAATTGCAATACAGCGCCATCTAGGGCTCAAAAGACATAGGTACAGTCAGCAACACAATCGGTATACTGTTGTATTTCCAACACCAGGCACATTGGGGGAATTCATAAAAATTGGAGCAGACGGAACCTGGAGCAGGTGTCCATGGCAACCAATGGGCTTCTCTGTTTTTAATCTACAAACCTTAACTGAACAAATTAAATAGAGAAGCTGATTGGTTGCCATTGACAGCTGCTCCGGATTCTGCCTGCTCCAGTTATGATAAATTCCCCTATTGTGTTTTGGCTGCAGCAGCCTTCATATTTAGTCAAGACAGGTTTACTTTATGGGTTCATTTAATAACTGTGGGGTACAGGTTTGTCATTCCCTACAACTGGGAAGTCTGGTGTCGTTGTTGGTACACTGCTTGAATTTTGGCCAAGATTTTGCAGTCAACTTTTGTTGAGGATGAGAAGGAGCTGGACTGAAAATTGTCAGCCAAACAGTGACTTCTGCCTATTGGCTGCAATCACTGATTATGTAATGTGACAGTTATTGGCCGTCAGAATACAATAGCCAGCAGAGGTTGAACAAGACAAAATGCTGAGTGTATGGCCAGCTTTAAGATGTGGATGTGCAGATAACAGTATTCAAGCTGAACTCCAGGATAAGCAAATATAGTCTAAATACAATACAGAGCCATGTGTATTCTTCCTTGAATCTTGGTGTGTGTTGTGCATTTGTTTCAGATCTGTGCAGTAATCCAGTATGAAACTGCCTTTGTTCCTATAATAAGGAGTTTCCTATAAGAAGACCAGTCTCTGTTGCTCTCTTTCCTTGTTCAGGCCTGTCCCGTAGTTTTCTTTAGGCAGCTTGAAGTGTGTGGGGCCTGTTGGATCCTGCTCCTGGTCCTGGTCCTGCTTTCTGCACAGGTTATATGGAGTGCAATAATGGTTTGACTTCTACTTCTACAAAGCAATATGCGAGCTTGCAAAGGCATTCGGTGCACACAAAGTAGATGTATATGCTTTATGGGTATTAAGTATATTTAAATGAAAGATTTTGGACTCGGAGTTCAGCTTTAAATATACTCTGGTCATCAGTATCCAATTTATTTAGTTAGGTATGTATGTACTACAGAGTGTTGGTTCTGGCGTTTTTACGGTGTGGAAAAAATGACGTGCTTTTTAAGGTGTTTACATTTTACATATCTGATGAAAAGATCTTTCGGGGCCTCCGCCAATCAGTTTTACAAACTCTTGACAATAGTGTAATGCCCTTGTGCACCTCACAGTTCTAGCTAAATCTTCTTGACTTTAGGTAAAACATAGAATATCTGTAGAATTTCAGTGCATTTGTCTCACAACCCAGCTACAATATATGCCAGACAGGATGTTGCCTCTCTGCAGAGTAGAGCTGTCTCATGTCTTAAATGTGCTTATGAAGGCTAACTTTCATGCTTACAAAAGACACATTTACGTTCCCAAGTAATTTGTGAAAATAAAATTACCCACGCAAATCCCGCCCCCTCTCCCCCCCTGATTTACTTACCATTAGTTTAACAATCCTATCCCCTCCGCCGGTACTGGTGTACTATACGTGCCCTGTACTGCCCTGCGCTATGGATTTAAAATTTCACTCGCAAATTGCAATTCAATTGTCACCTGAGCGCGCTGACCAATGAGAAGTCCTTCTTGCTAAGAACTTTACTTGTAAGTGAACTTACCCTTTTAATATTGTTTTACAGATACTTGCTTACCACAGGACGTCAACATGATTCCGGTATTTCTAATGGAGAAGGAAGCAACAGCACTGCGCCAATACCCTGTCCAGTGGATGACCAGGTAATGAATGAGAAGTGTTAGCCTAGCCATTACTGAAATCTGAATTATGAGTGGATGCAGGTAAGCTGAATGACTCATTTGGCTTTTTATTTCTCTGAGGGGCTCCAGTACCTGATATAGTTCCTGGTTCACGCCATACCGTCACCACAGCTGAAGAGCAGGGATAGAGACCTAAGCCCTGTCTAAGCTCCAAGTTTGGTATACTGGGCTTCTTCTCTCAGACAAATCGATTGGTGAGGGCCAATCCATTATTTCGCAGGTAGCAAGGTCTAACCCATTTGTCTGCAGGAGCGAGTACTAACTTGAAGATAACACAGGGCTTAGGTCTCTCTTTTTTACCTCCATGTGACAGTGCTGAGTCCCTGAATGGCTAGCCACCATTGCTGTTGTGTAGGAGGAAGCAGCGTAAGTTGCATGCTCCTCCCCCCCCACCCCCACACCCCAAGCAAAGCATCAGGACAGCAATGGGAAGTATTCGCAAATGGTGAGGCCAAAGTTAAATTGCACATGTTGTTTGGACCTGCATTGGGCAAAGTACATATTCACCTTAGAATACTATTACTATCCAGTACCTAGTGTTCTTTTTACATTGCGCAATATGTTCTCCGTTTTGTTCATATGGAGATGCTAGCAATGAAGTATATGGCCACATTCCAAAGGATAAGGTGGTATGAGGTCATTGCAGAGGCTAGAGCAGGCATTGCAGGGGAAGATCTTCATGGCTGGGTCTCCAAAGTTACAAGAGTCCCTTGTGTGATTGAACCTATGATATTGGACTATGTAGTGTTATCAGATTTGGGTGAAATTACCTAGGTGGTGATTTCAGATTGGTTGGAAACGTTCTCTGTTGATCATTGTTCAGCTTCCATTCCATGCTTAAATATTCTGTTTTTACTTTACAACATTACACTTTGTTTGCCTTTTAGAATACCAAGTTTTTCAAGGAGAACATCTAGCATGTCCCACAGCCTCAGTGAGGAAGCACAAATCAATCGGTCACACATCTCAGAAGCAGACTTCCTAGATGAAGAAAAAATGCAGGAATCTTCTTCTCTGACAAAGGTGGACCTTTTAGAGCAGTCCTCTGTGGAAATTGTTACTAGTGAACAGGAGAGTGTTATCTCAGACACTGCTTGTGTTAGCACCATGGTGCCTACTGTCATACAGAGCTCCTCTCCAGTACAGCAGATACTTCACCCAGGTGACAAAGCAAAGCAAGAGTTTATTAAAGTGGGGGACCATGACAATGTGTTCACAGACACCAATCCGGAAAATATTTATCCAGTGGCTTTTGATGACCAACCAGAGGATGTATCAAAAAGAGATTATGAACGCAGAAGTGATTGTTTGTCCACAGGAAGTTATGCAACATGTTATTCCACAGATGAGTTAGAGAAGAGCAGCCCTGAATCTGGCTTCTCCAACCCAGAGGACAGTAAAGATACCATAAAAACCCAAGTCCTAGAAGGCCAAGAAGAGCCTCCAACTAAGAAAAATAGCTTTCTAGAAGACCCTCAAGAGCATTTACTTAATACAGTTGTGAGTGCAACAGAGTTATTGGGCATTACAGAAGGTGACACTCAAGTTACTGCAAAAGGTAGCGCAGAAGTTATTACACAGCTATATGAAAGAAGCAGTAAAGAGGACATTCTGTCAAACAGAACCTCTAGCATCACAGACTGGACCTTAACACTGGACTCGAATCCATCAATCAGCAGCTCGAAACTAGTTAAGATGGTATTATATGTCCATAATGTGAACGGCTTAGTTCTGTCTCTAATAGCAGAAAACGATTTCAAATACATCAGAGAGTTCATTCAGGATGTGGTAAGTTTTATTCTATCTATATCTACTGTAGACAGCACATAGTTTGTACGGCAAGGCATATTTTTCAAATGTTTTTCTGGACTTCAAGAAACAGATTTTAAAGTGCACTGGTGGGGATTTAGTTTTTAAGCTATAATAACTGTGCAAAGCAGCAATGCTCTTTATCTGGGAACACTGCGATCAAGCACTGCAAATATCAACAATGATGAATACTGCACAGGTAAGGTGATATATTTAGTGTACTGACACTTCCAGGTGTTTACATGCCATATCGGACTCTCTTGATAGTGCCCCCGCAGCCCCAAAATGGAAGGTGCAAGCACTGTACAGAGACCACTTTGCCACAAGTCGGCTCTAACTATGAGGATAAGTGGAGATCACTCACCTCATAGTTCTCCTTTAACTTGCTACTAAAAGTTTTACGAACGTTTCGATCATCTGCCTTTTTACGATCTGTAATCCGTAGTATGTGTATGTGCTGAGAAATAGTTTTGCATAATATTTAAAAGACCAGTCAACCATAAAGTGCTTGTCAGTAACCTAAACTTATTAGTCTTGCATACCTTTCTTATAGCAGCCACAACATACATCTGTGACTTCTCAAAGTATTCCCTGCATGTCTTCTTAGTTCCCAAACCAGACAGCGCTAAAAATGCCAATGTGTACTTCAGCTTTAATAGCATGGGCAGGGTCACACATGCCATTGTAATATCATGGGCATTATACCAGGGCTACAGCGTACATCTGAAGCTGATATATACAGTACTGTGAAAAAGTAAGTACACCCCATGGAAATTGTTGCCTTTTTCAACGGTCTATTCATTTTGTATGAACAGGCAATGGTTAGATGTTCATAGTGCCTACAGTTAACAGCTAATATACTTGAGCAAACAATGCATACAATTGACATGTTATATTTATTCTCAGAATTGAAAAAAATTTAAAATGCTGATTTGTCACATGTAATTGGTAAGTACAAAGTAAATTAGAATTCAGTGTTCCAGGTTAGGTGCCAATGATTCCAATTTCCTTAGGGAGTATGCAGGTGGAATCGCAATAAAACCTCAAGCTTTCTAGGGTTTGGTGTTCTCTTTTCTATTGATGTGTGGTGTCATCATGCCAAACTCTAAAGAGCCTGTGAGTCTGGCAAGGTAATTAAAAAGATTACAAAATTATTTTAAATCATTCTCCTGTAAGAAAAATATTTTACAAGTGGTGTAGCCAATTAGCACAGCAGATCATTTAATGCTAAAAGAAGTCTCCAAGAGCCAGAAAAATCCATCATAGGATCTGCAGGTAACTCTTCCAAGAGTTGGTTTCAAAGTGCAGGCATCTTCAATCAGAAAGAGATTTAACCTTTGATCCCCAATAATGATGAGCTGAATGTAACTAGGTTTGGTTCAAGAGAGGTTTGGCGAAAGGTTAAAAAAATTATTGGAATTTGCAAATGTTTCCTGAACCCCATAAACCCCTATGCAATGCATAACATTTTTTTAGAAACATTCCGTTCCGGGAGCGACACTTTTGAAAAGGTATAAGTAGCCAAAATTATGCCAAAGGGGAGGCAAATGAATTGGAAATGTTGACCAGTGATTGCAAATCCAAGAAATGTTTGTAACTGTGTGAATTGGTACTTGGAGATAAGCACCTGACAAGTCAACTGAGAGCATTCAGTCCCCTGGACTAATTGCATGCAAAATGGATTGGAGAGACTCAATCTTGAACTTCTGGAGTTCTATTTTTTTTTTTTTCTGCACTACTCGGATTTCTCTTGATCGCATACACAGTACTGGCCTCTTTGTAGATGTCCACAGTGAGAAGGTTCTCTGTGGCATCTTGCAGAGGTGCAACGTCTGTGTCTTTTTTATGGCAGGATCTTGAGGCCAACTGCCTATGCCTTGACCGAAAAGCATGGTCTCTGCGATTTTTCACTTTGCTCTTGACATTCGTTTTTTTTTTGTTAGGATTATTTTTCTTATTTTTGTTTTTACCTAATGGAGGCATGGTGGTCATCTTGGGCAGCATTATCCTTTTGTGCTGAGAGGAAACCGTCTTTAAGAGACAGTGAACTAACATCCGTATAAAGAACACCATAGGCATACATGGAGAGGGAGCTGGTGGATTAACATCAGACACTGCAATAGAACCTACCAGTGCAGAAAGGTAAGCAGGAGATGAAAGGAAAAAGAAAGTCAGCACCCAGCAGGCTTCGGTATGAGCTGCAATGCTCATTGCCATAGCCACTGTCAAACTGCACCTAAAAAGCCCTCTGCTGGCATCCTGACAAAAAGGCCTTGTCCCCGGCAACCACTTGGTGCCTCGCATGTTCACAATGCCACCAGAGTTTTGGGTGCCATTATTGGATTAGGGCGCCTGGCCAACAGGCCAATTAAGGAATGGCTAGATGGAAAGCATTGTATGGGTTTTGCTATTTTATGGCTTTGGGCTAAGGGTAGGAAGAAGGACTTTGAGGACCTATGCTACCATATAGCTTCCCCATACTCGTTTTACAGGCTATTTGGGAGGTCCTCACCCAGGAAAAATTGAACCTGGCTGGCTAGCTGGCTGCCATGAAGGAAAGCAAAAAGAGAAGGCGTAACAATTCAGGAAGAAAGCTATAAAAAAAAAAAAGTAATAAAGTTATCCCTTACTGTAGAAAGACAAACTATCCAGTCTATTGTAAGGACAGAAAAAATTAATTATCTGGCAGGCTGTGCTGAAATGTATTCATATCCAATCCCTTGGGGTTGGAGGGGCAGAGTCTAGCCCCTTTGGTATGCTGCCATGATGCTCCTGGAAAAGAACTTTAGGACAATACAATAGTTTGTCATTGAATATATAGGCAAGTACCAAGCTTTCTGGAACAATGTGCTGTGAACTAATAAATCAAAGATGGAGTTGTTTGGCCACAGTAGCAGTAGACATACTTGGAGCAAACCGATGTCAGCTCTTCAGGGAAAGAACCTCATTCAAGCTCTGAAGCATGGTGGTGGAAATGGTATGGTTTGGCCTTCTTAGTCACGTCAAAGCCTTGGTGGCTTGCACTCATCTAGTCAACCTTGAATTCTGCATCATATCAAAGTGTACATTACCAAATTCACCAAGGAATAGCTCAGGAAGAAATGGTGGAGGGTTATGGACTGGCCTACCAAAGCCCTGATTTTAATCCCATTGAAATATTGTTTGGGAATTTGAAACAGGCAATTTATACAAGGAGCCAACAAACATCTTGCCATTGAAGGAATTTTGCATAGAAGAGTGGTCAAAAATTTGCAAGGTAGACTGTTATCCAAACAACCTACAAGACGTAATACCTGCTAAAGTGGGTCTTACCATCTTCTAAGGCCAAGGATTTACCTTTTCATCCAAATACCATTACAGCTATTGAGTTTTTTCTTAAATGTTGTAAGAGGCAAATTGTCCTTGTATTTTTATTCAAGTATATCACCTTTTTCTGTAGGGACTGTGAATGAAGGTCTGTTTGCCTTATCAAATATGTTAAAAAATTCCATTCTGTGTGCTTCCTTTTTTACATGATGGTGAGTATTGGGTTGCAGCGTGAATTGAATCCATATAGGAGGGCTTCTGACCCATGCATAGATACCATTTGGTTATTTTTTTAGCTTTGATGAGCTCCTGAAACTTTTATGTTGGCCTTATACTAGCTAGCTGTTACAAGCAAAGAGACCAGTCAGCCATGGAAAATATCCGGATTAAAAATTAGAAAGACCAAACTTATGTATGCAGCAGATCAGTGTTGCCTCAGCTGAACAGATTTTCTATCAAATAGATGGGAATTGAGGAGAGTACCACCTCAACAGGGACATGGGCAGCAACATCTTCTACAAGCGTGAGGAAGGTTTTAAACCTGTCAGGAATTTTTGCTTTCTTGCCCTTATGAGGGATATGCCCTCCTCCTTCCTGTCCAGGAAAAGAGCATAATGAACTCTATGGGGACATATTTACAATTTCCTGTCACTATTTGGAACGCTAAACTTAATGAAAAAAACAAAAACCTTTTGTTTTAGGACTCAATAGCTATTGTTCATAAAAGGCACACAACTATCTCTCCCCACTTTTGTACAGCTCATTACAGATTTTAAATGATCAGATACAGCCTGAAAACAAACAGCTGTGGTTTAAGAAAACCCATAATGTTCTGTGAAATTTGTGTCATGGGTCAACCCAGTATATGTTTCATCAGCTACAAATGTGTAAACTTAGAAAAAATGGATTTCAAACCATTATAGATTGCCATTAAGCCCACAAATGTGCATTTATCCTTTAAATGTTTGCACACCATAAACAATTTAATGGATTTTACTTACAGTAGAGGGAGAATAATTTAGCGTTTCCAGAATTTAGGAGAAAGTATTTTTGGGCTGTTATGCTATATTCATAGTGAGCCATTTTTTGGCATCATAGGACATTTTGCTGGATGCAACTGAAAGACCAACCTCTATTAACCTATCCTCTGTCTTTACTTTGCCCTACAGTATGACAGCACCTTGGCTTCTCTGAATGGCTTAGAAGTTCATCTGAAGGAGACTTTGCCCCATGACAACAACAATGTAGCAAAAAGCACTCACAACTTTACCCACTATGATTTGATCCAGAACATTCTCACAGGTGCATAATGTAAACTGTATAAGTCAAATCTGCCTGCTACTTGCTACACACATGACTACTGCTGCTGCTTGCTACAAACAGAAAGTGGTCATGTCCATTGCGTGGGCTGCCCTGAAAACACAGCCATTAAATTTTTTTAGCAACACTGGAGCAGACAGAATCTGGAGGAGTTGCCCATGGCAAACAATCGGCTTCTCTCTTCAGTTTGTTCAGGTAAGATTTGAAAATGAAAGAGAGAAGCCAATTGGTTGCCATGCACACCTTCTCCAGATTTTGTCTGCTCCAGTTTTGATCAATTCTCCTTCTTGATATGTGTGTTGGTTTTTTTTTTGCTTTTGTTTTTTTAAATATGGATCTTTGCTATTTTACTGAAAACGGTATTGTTCTCCTTTTATTCCATGTTCTATAGTACACTTCATTGGTGAAAATAGATTCAGCAATATTACTCCAAGCCCCACACTGAGACTGGGTTCACACCTGGGCGTTTTTCAGCGCTGATGGAAGCGCTGAAAAACGCTCAAGAAGTGAAATCCTGTTAATCCCTATGAGCATGGTTCCCACCTGGGCGTAAAAGCGCTGAAAAACGCCCTACGCGCGAAAAAGTACTTCTTTTTCACGCGCAGGAGCAGATTTGAGCGCGTATCTATTGGTATTCTCGAGTGTGGCTCGGGGTTAATTCTCTGTACCAAAGCGGTAACCCCGAGACACGCTCGGGAATACAGCGTAGGTCTTACCTTGTCCACGATCCCCGCTGTGTCCTCCGGCCGCTGCCGGCATCCCAGTTCCGTCCCTTCTGAGCGTCCGCGTCACCGGGGGGCGGAACCGGCGGGAAGTTTCAAAGTTTGGGTTGTTTTTTTAAACGAAAAACAGAGGGAAAAAAAGGGGGAAAAAATAAAAATCATACCGCCAGGGAGGTTAAAAAACGTGCGTCGAACGCACGTTTAATTGGACAGAAAAATGCGCATAAAGCGCGCCTATTAGGAACGCCCAGGTGTGAACCCAGCCTTAAGCTTGGCTTCCAACAATGGGTGCAGGCAGGGCACCCAAGCTTGTTTCCTCTCTCAGTCCACCGTGCAAATGGAGCAAAATGGCACACACTGAAATCTGCCTAATATGCACTTTATTTGCTAGGATGGTCCTTTTGTAATCCCTACCTGGGATCTATGATTAAGCCCTCTTAGGTAAAGCATTTGCAATAGCAAGGGTGTCCCATGTCGGGATTATTATGGACCGTTCCAGTGAACGAAGTAGAGCTTTTTTTTAAGCTGATTTCGGTGTGTGAGATTTTGCACTCTTCAGCTGTCCAGGTCTGCTGTTTTCAAGGACTGATTTACCACCCTGCTTCTCAGTCACCGGCTTTAACAGCATGACTGTTGAAGCTCAGGTTCTAAGGGCTGGTGGCTCAAGACTAGGAAGCCCACTTCCTGCAAGGTCCATCTTCAGGTGTGAAAGGTGTACTTTGCTTGGTGTGAGTCTAAGGGCTTTCACCCCAGGAGTTGCTCCATTGGACTAGCCCTCTCTTTAATGCAGAACCACACAGTTCTTATTACAATAAAGGGCCAGATCTCTGCCCTTTCTATTCTGTTTCAGAGACCGCTGGCTTCCTACTCTCTAAGACCTTTTGTACGTGGAGTCTGCCATGTGGTCCCCTAGTACGTATCAGCCCCTTTTTTATGGCACTTCAGAAGCCCTGTTTGAATCTATCAGAGCTATTCCTCTATCTGTTTTAATACACAAGGCTGTATTTCATGTGGCCATCACCTCAGCTAGGTCCGAGCAGGTGGCTTTATCCATGTGGTATTACAGCCCAGGTCTTTTTTTGCTTCCCATAGTAATCTTCTTCACGTTCCACCTAAATCAGGACATCCTCCTGCCCAACTCCAGTTCATCCAAAGCATCATTCCCAGTTCCTTCATTGTTTTTGAATGTGGTTCAGTCTTTGTTAGTCAACCTACCTGTGTTCAGCAATACTGCTTCTTAGGTCAGCTCTTTTACTCACTGGACATAGGTGATGATGCTGATTCACTGCCCAGTGAGAAGGCAGCCATAGAGAAGCGACATTGGAAGCTGAATTGCTGAACCGGGAGGAGGAATTGCTTATTTAACAACAGTGTGTGTTACTTGTCTAGATGTGCAGTATGTATATAACAAGATGGACTGCACAGAATTACAAATCCTTTTGGCAGGGTTCATTCCCTCCAGCTGAGCAGGGCACTTTTTTTACACTATTTTGCGACAGCTCTCTTACAATACATGCATTCGATGGTATTTAAAATGAATAGACACTTTACTAAAAAATACAATCACTGCAAGGCATTCCAGTGCACAGCTACACATTTTAGACTGGAATGAATGGTCATTATCTAAAGTTGTACTAATGTTGTGCCTCTTAATATCCTTTCATACAGCTAATCTTCCATCTTCATCAAACACTCAAGACCGCCACTTCCTTCGAGCTGCCAACCTAATCCACGCTGACTTTAGCGCACATCCTTCTCTCTTGGAGGTTACCATAAGGTAAGAGTATTTCCTGCAACCGGAAATCTTGCAGAACTGGTGGTTCAGCATTATAAAGGGATATTGCAGGTTCCACACGGGTGTGCATTTTATGAATGAGATGTAAAATGTTGAGTAATTGCTGTAGTGTCCATGGTATCTGCTCTTCATTTTCAGTAGCCCCTTTTGTGTGGTAGAAGACCAACGCTGCTCATAACCTTGTGGACACCAACTGTATGGTGGTGGTAGCATTATGTTGTGTGGTTGCTTTCATTAAAGGGCCTGCAAAATGGGTCAGAATTAAGGGCAAGGTAGAAGAAGTCAAATAGAGGGCAATCAGAGATGTTTCTGAGTTTTTTGCTTTTTCCCAGAGCCTACTGACAGGATGGGGAACCCAACAGAATTTTCTGCCATTGGGAGTGCTTTTGTTTCTCTGAATTTATAGTAGGATTTTTTAACCAGACTATTTGGATCAACTATTTAGATGTTTAACTTGCATGGTATTGGGGCCTCACCCAGAGCTTCTAACATTACCAAGGTTCCACAGGTAAAATGCACTATATGTAATGCTACAGAGGACTGTCATAGATGGCAGACACAATACAGGGGAGAGTACATGCTGCAGGATACTGCAGTGACTTGGGACAGGTTATTGCTAAAGATCACTGCTATTACACCACCTTTACAAATCAGCTTTCTCATTCCTAACTGCTCAGGTCAAAGGGCCACACACCAAGTACTAAAGAGTCGCATGTTGGGCGCTAGGGATTAAGATTGTACAAGCTGTTTCTGGTGGTTTTATATTCTATAAGTCCTACTTTGTCACTCTTTCTTTATTTACAAATGGATTATAAATGAGAAAAATAATATTTAGAGCAATATTATGTTAAGTATCCTGTATGTTTTATGTTTTCTTCTTACAACCTTTACAGAAATGGTTCTTCTGCGGTCTTTGGTTGCCAGAGCAGTGTCCACGAGACTTACTTCCAGCAGCTGTCACCTCCCTTCCGCAATTCAGGAGGTCCAGATTCCCAGGACACTGCTTTCATGCTACAGAGCAAAGCCAAGCAGAAGCTGCTGAAATATGGGCTTAACCTGCTGTAAGACACTTCCTCAAAGCAAAGATATTCATTGGACTTCCATTCTGGGCTCAGGCTTCCATTCTGGGCTCAGGCTTCCAGGACACTTTCTACATATTCCAAATATAAGCACTGCAAGACTTTCACTGCAGTTAATGGACCATATACTAAGTCATACATTGTGTACTTCTATTATTGATGAACCCGCTTCTGACTAAAATCTTCCACATTTGTGTCTTTCTAATGCCACATATTAAAGCAACTTTTCAACCCTGTATATGTGCTGCTGGCTTGTAAATGTTAGTGGCAATAAATGTTAGATCACAGCCATCACTTAAGCAGAAATCTGTTTCCTTTAGAATGTTCAACGTTTCAGTCAAGCGGCTTTGATAGAACAATAATTTCTGGGCTTTTACAGGAATCTAAATATTCTTTATACTGAAATTTGGGTACGGCCGGGATCAGTGGATGTAACAATCCTTATACAGTATATTCAGAATTAAACTCTAAAAGCAACACTGATATTAAAATGCAGATAAACAGAATATTTCTGATTTAATTGATCTGTGAAGTGAGTGTTCGTTGTCACTAGGGATGCACCGATATCGGTTGTTCGGTATTGAGTACCGATATTTATCTTTCCGTACTCGCTGATACCGAGTACCGATACCGGTACTTCTGCTAGCATGCAGCTGGCTTCCCGGGCAATCAGGAACCCAGGCAGCGTGTCATTACCTGCAACACGGCATCTTGATTGCCCGGGAAGCCAGCTCCATGCTGTTAGGCCGGCTCCATGCTGTTAGGCCGACTCCTTGCTGATTGCCCAGGAAGCCGGCTCCATGCTGTTAGGCCGGGAAGATGGCTTCCCAGCCTATTGGCATGGAGCAGACTTCCCAGCAAATCGGCATGGAGCAGGCTTCCTGGCCAATCAGGAAGCCCAACTTTTATATTTATTGCATAATACTCTCTGCTGGTTGCCTACATCCGGGGCAGCTGTGTTGTTTAAAGATCCCATCTGGAAAAAGAAGTATTCAGGAATAAAATTGGAATATCTACAATACCCCAAAACTTTGGATGAACATGCTGCCCCCAATGCATGGATATATTACTTAGCTGCCCAATTACAACACATAGCCGACTGGGAGCAGGGAGACTGTATTGTTCTATCAAAGTTTGTGTCTACGTTAGAATGTGTGACCGGTGACGTGGTCACACATTTTAATGTAATCTCGCACAGTTTTACAGAGGTGAAATGTGTGACCACCCATTAGGTCAAGCATTCCAACGCTTTGTCAGCTGTTCCAGAGTAGATCGGCATCGCATGTGCAGGAGAATCGTTCTGCATTACCCCATCTGCCTGGAACAGCTGATCGGTCCTCAAATGTCACTTCTATCCGACTCTGTGAGTGCGATCTTACATTCCACCGCACTCACAAAGTGGGATAGAAGTGACATTTCAGGACTGATCAGCTGTTCCAGGGCAGATCAGTTCTCCTGCACATGCGATCTGCGATGCTGAGAAAATGAACTTGCCTACTACACTCCGCCACCTCTCCTTGCCCCCACGGTTCATACATCATTGTTCACCAATTTAAAGCAAAATCTTAGATGAGCAAATAGTATGCATTGATAGGTGCATTTGACCTGCAGTTGACCTGCTTCAAGCAGGTTTTCCATTCCATAGACTTGTATGGTACATGCTGGGGAAGTGTGTTGAATGATGCTGACCGATGACACTTCCAACTGAGGAAAAGTACGGTGTCCATAAGGCAGCAGAACCTTTTTTTTCTGGTTTGATCTCTTTGTGGTGATTTAATTTGTAAAGATTATTTTTGACTCTGCTTATGCTGTTAATGAAATTGTAATTATAACAAACGTATCTTGCACTGTCACTCACTGATATTTTGTACAGGGTAAGATGCCAGCCATTGTAGTACGTTGTAGCCCGGCAAACACAGTTCTCTCGTTTTGCATCACTTAATTCTCCCATTCCTAATATATAGTGTGGCTGGTGGAATCTCCCCTGGTGGCTATTGTATTCAGAGGGGGCACTTTTGGTTCAGAATACCTGAATAGTGACTGCAGCTGATAGGCTGTTTGGCCAACAATTTCCGCTTGGCTTCTTTAACTTTTCTATTGAAGTTTATTGAGCTGCGTGGTCCCGGCAGAGCCACCCACAGATCAAATTTCGGCACATTCAGCAGAAAATGGCCGAAACCCAAGCCATGAATGGCAGGTTTAAGTCTATTAACAGCATAGAATAATAAATTAAAGGAAAACAAAGATTAATATTCAGTTTCAACCCTAGCAGGAGTCCTTCATCAAGGTAAAGAAGTACCTTATGTGACTTATGTTTTGTATGTATTTTTTTGTGTGTGTGTGTGTGTGTGTGTGTGTGTGTGTGTGTGTGTGTGTTAATCTGCATTTCCCTGCATGCCTTTTCTTTTTTTTCCTCTCCTTAAAAGATACAGTATATAACATAATCTGTGACTGCTAGTCATATGGTATACAGTGTTAATTGCAATAAAGTGCTCTTTATGAGCGTTACCTGCATTACCGTTACCATTGTCGCATTACAGTTATGCATGCTGCATTTGGCATAATGTAAGAGTTTTATGTTTACTACAGATTCTCCGTGCAAGCTGACTTGCCCATGTCACAGAAGTGATACGAAAAGTGAAACCAGTGGCAACACACATCAATTCATATATGGATTTAAAGCAAGGTGCACATGGAAGGGCTTTACACAGCACAAAAGCAAATATTTCCCAGCACACTCACCAGCCAGCAAAAAACTACACTGTATAACTATTTAAAAAAAGAGGTTTTAGTTGCACAACTGTTAGGGGATGTTGGGTACAGGAAGGAGAAGTGTGTTGGTTTGACAAGAACGCTAAATTTCAGAAAGGCAAACTTTGATAAGCTGCGTCACCTAGTACATGACACTAAATGGACAACTTATTTCTACAACTGAACACTAATGACAAGTGGTATTGTTTTAAGTATTCAGTCGATATAGCTATCACCAAGTGCATACCATCGGTTAACAAAAATAAAAGGTCAAGAACTAAGCCTGCATGGCCAAATAAAACAGTAAGACACCACATTAAAGACAAGAAGATATAATTTATAAAATATAAGATGGAGGGGACGGCATTGGCATTCCAGAACTACAAGGAATGTAATAAGAGATGTAAACATGAAATCTGGGCAGCTAAAATAGATTATGAAAAGCATATCGCCGCAGTCAGTAAAAAGAACCCCAAAAAATTCTTCCAATATATAAACAGTAAAAGTGTAAGAAAAGAGCAGGTCGGCCCAATAAAAGATAACGGAAGAATAATCACAAACGACAGGGAGATGGCTGAGGTATTAAATTCATTTTTCTCCTCAGTATACACTCAAGAAAAAGACGGGTTTAATGCAGATAAGAAGGGAGCAGCTCAGGCCGCAAAATACCGCAGTGGTTGATGGTACCCGGGAACCAACAAAGACTAGAAAAACTTAATTCAAATAAAGCTTTAGGACCAGATAACCTGCACCCCAAGGTACTTAAAGAGCTCATCCAGGTTTTAGCGAGACCATTATTCCTCATTTTCAAGGACTTCATACTGACTGGATGGTTACCAAGTGATTGGCGGAAAGCTACAGTAGTACCAATCTTCAAAAAAGGTTCAAGATGCCAACCTGGGAACTACAGACCAGTCAGTCTAACATCAATAGTATGCAAACTATTTGAGGGGATTATAAAGGACTATTTAGTGGATTATGTTAATGGCAATGGTATATTAAATGATAATCAGCATGGATTTAGGAAGGACCTGTCAGACCAACCTACTGACATTCTACGAAGAGGTGAGTAGAGAACTGGATAGAGGGAAACCGGTACATACACACAAAGGATGGACTTGTGTCTTTATTCAACCTCAAATACTATGTAACTTTTGCAAAATATGGGGAAGCCACACTGCCTCGTCAAGGCCCCTCTGTGTAGTGATGTCCTAACTCTAATCTATGAGAGCCTCCATCTTGAAGCATACAAGAGGATGAAATAAAGACACAGGGACACACCAGAAGCCCAGCACGTCACAATGGCAGCTGAAGCCCCCAGTGTGTCCCCACACCAAATCCAACAAGTGAAATAAATGCACTCATCAATTCATAACTAGTTTTAAAGTAAGGTGCACAGGTAAGGGCTTTATACAGTACAAACATTTCCCAGTCACTGGCTGGTGATATGGCATTGCTCCCTTGCTGGCTGAACCTAAGAGCTGGAGAGCAAAAGTATGCCACATTGCAACCAGAGAAGGAATGATGATGTAGATGCGGGTGAGTAGCCTTTGCTAGTGATTGGATCACTAATGTGATATGGGTCTTATAGCTTTGGGAGCTACGTAGGTGAGACAAAGCCTGAATATTACACCCAGGGGTTTTCATACTGTGCACATACTGGGTTCAGTGGCTCCCAATGTGTGTCCCAGTGGATTTATAACATGACAGTAGCATGTACTAATATCTTGTGGTAACTCTTATCGCATAATTATGCCAGTTTATGATATTTTATCTAGTGACAGGTTTACTTTAAGGGATTTACAAAAGTTTGATTTTTTTTTCTCTTCCTTCACTCTCTCAATTGCTTTGAGGAATGATATTATAAAGGGCAGTGCCATGAAATCGAGTTTCAGTTAACACCAGTGTAGTAACATTTGACACCCCCTTGTTCCCAGTTCATTCAGTGTAATTCAGAGCAGAATGACAAAGACCTCCGCTTTTGACACCTATTGTTTTCTGATGAGGACACCTCACCTTTAGCTGAGGAATATGCAGATATTTCTGTCAAGTGATAAATGTAGCACTACCAACTCCAGCTACATTACTTTCTCTATACATACATTAATTAGAAATGTGCGCACGATAACTATGCACAAGTCTTACATTGCTCCGTTCTATATTTTCCTTTATTAATATAAATGAGCTCTGCATTGATGACTTTGCCTTGTATGATGAAAAACTAGGCTGAAACGAGCAATCAGATTTGTGATACATTATATAAATTACATTAATAATCAATTACTTTTGAAGTCTGGTAGCGTGTGTCTCCTATGCTCACTGTGCAAACACACTGGATGCGCATTGCATGTAGAATGACAGATTCCCAATCATAACCAGCAAATGGTTTTCTTGTTTATATAAGCTGCACAGACTGCCAATGCATGGTCATGAACATAACCAAATAGTGGACAGTAGCAGGCCTTCTTGTGCTTGTTGTGGCTGCTGGGATCTGTCACTAATGTGATTCCTGACTGACA